ACGCGTGTGCGCTCTGATGTAAACAAGCACGGATAAGAAGCACATGGGGGAGCTCGAGAGAGACGCTCTGGATAAAGCACACATTCACTCTCTGACAGCAGATGGCGCTGAACAGCAGAAATGCAGCCGTAACCCCGGAAACCCTGTAAATAAAGCAGCTGCGCTACTTTGTTTCTAAAATATGTTTAAATGAATAAAATAGCCATTCAGATGTTTGTATTCACTATGGTGTTCATCACAGCACCAAATACTTAAATATTTAGACTTAATAGGCTATTTTCAAACTTTTTTTACATTTTAATCTGGACTACAACATGTATAATAACACGTTAAAATCAAAAGTTGCAACTGTGTTATTTAATGAGCTAACATGAACTAAGAGTTGTATTTTTAAACAAAGATGAATAACTTCTGTAGCAAATGTAGCTATTGCTCATTGTGAACATTAATGCATTAACTAAGTTTAACTAATGAGATCTTATTGTAAAGTGATACCTGTCTTTATAATTCTTTTGCACTTTAATTAAAAATTGTAAAAAACATTGTGTATTGTTTTATTGTATTTAAATGTTCAGTTATTTTTGTTATAAGAAAAAAGCTATTAAACCTGTTATACTGTATTATGACAACACTTTTTTTGCAACTAAATTTCAATATCGTGACAATACCGTATACCGTGATAAATGCATTAGCAATTAATCACAACATGAAAAGTTGATATCCCTAATGATGATTTATATTATGATTAATTTGTGATTAATGTTTTCTAAACACGGCCCAGTTTGACGCAGGATTTGCACATCGTTTGATACTGAAATACAGAGCAGTCCTAGCTATAAAAGATCCCGGTCATGATTCAGAACTGCAGAGGGTAAGTGAAACGGCATCAAATGTCTGTGTTTTGTTGGCAATTGTCGCTCAAGTGCTCGTCACTCTTTACCTCCGCCCACAGCACGCCTCCAGGAGCTCGGCTGTTTTTGGAGAGAATCGTAAAGCTGTATCTTTGTTTTTTA